ACCCATCCCCCTGCTGGCGTGCCCAGTTGGTAATTGAAAATACCAGAACTCCCTGATGACCAGCTTCCAGGGAAATCTGACCCGGGATGGGCGGCGGGCGGCGGGAGGGGCCAGAGAGCATCCAGCTGCTCCCATTAATCCCCGGATTCCAGGAGAAAGGCCAGGCCTGCCTGGCCCCATGGCCTGCCCCGGTCATCTTCCCCATGGTGCCGCCTCCTCACCACACCCGGGTCACGGGGCTTAGAGGGGATCAGAGCTCTGGGGGAGCTGTCTGAAACCCAAGCCTCCGGCTGGGCCCCAGTCCTGGACCCCTATGTGGGTGGGACCTGCTCTGCTGAAGCTGAGCTCTCAGGGCTGGGTGGGTGGTGGTGACTCAGCGGGATAGAGCTGCCAGGCTGTCCTCAGAGGCCCTCTGCAGGCCGCAGCTTCCAGACCTCCCTGGTCAGCCTGCATCCACCACAGCCAGTGGAGAAGAAAGGTGATTTAGACCTGTGGGGGCCTGGGTTCAAATCTCATCTCCAGTGCTTGCTGGGTGAACAAGTTACTTCTCACCTCTGCTTCTGTTTCCTCATCTGTAAAATGGGTGCAATAATAGTGCTAACCATGCAGGGTTGGTACGAGTGGTAATCCTTTACCACTCATGCTAACTGATGAGGTATTTGGTTAGTTTTGGCGGCAGGAGCCTTTGCCTGGCTGGTATCATGGGGCAATCAGGGGTTGTAAGAGGAGGTTTTCAGTTTAGGGGCAGGTAGTCACCCCATCATAATCTTCCATGGCTGCCCAGGACCTGCTGGGCTAAGTCACACTCCTAGTCAGGGCCCCCGCCTGCCTCAGCAGCCTCATCTCCACCTGTTTTAGGGATCCTGCTCCTGCTGCCTGCACGCTCAGATCTGCAGGCCCAGTGGGAAGAGCTCAGCCCCAGCCACGTCACTACTGCTTTGTGACCTTGGACAAGTCACCTTCCTTCTCTGGCCCTGATTTCTCTACCCCTCAGAGTGTGGGCCACAACCCAGAAGCATCTGCAGCCCCAGCGAGCTTGTCAGAAACTCGGGTTCTCAGGCTGCACGCCAGACCTCCTGTCAGCATCTGGGGCCAGATGCAGGGCCAGCGTGCAAGTTTTACCGAAGTCCCTCGGTTATCCTGACACCTGCTCAAGGACAGTAAGCCATGGGAACAATCTGCAACTTTGATTTGGTGCTGGGAAGCAAATCGCACAGAGAGCTCGGAACAGAGCCAAGGATTCTCCATGGCTTCCAAGTCTCACAGTCACTGGGGATTTAGCTTAGTGGCATAAATACCTGCCTGGCAAGCACTAGGTCATGAGTTCGATCCCCAGTACAAAAAAAAAAAAAAAGCCAAAAAACCAAGTCTCACAGCCTCCCCAGTGTCTCTCCCCCACAATACCCACCCTGGAGTGGACACTCACCATGTTGAAAAAGACATCCTGTCTTCCATGAGACCCTGGGGAGCCCTGAAGCCAGGGCCTATGAGGCTCCTTTCTGCAGCCCCTGCACCCCACATCAGGTAACCCCAGGGACAAAGGACCACACTCCCATTTCACATAGTGTCCCCTCTCTTCCTCGGTATCTTTACCAGGTCAGGGCTCACTTTGACAGGGGGAAACTGAGGCCCAGACAAGTGAAACATCTGCCCAGTTTCCCATGTTAAGGGGGCAGGAACTGTGTGCAAGAGCTGCACCCCCAGTCTCCCCACCCCAAGGCTGGGTGGCCTTTCTACGGATGAGACCAGTCCGAGTCCTGCAGGTCACAATGAGAAGCATCATGTAAGCGAATGTGCTGGGTAGTAACTTATCACAGGGCCTCACACCTACCCTTGCCAGCTTGGCATGTGCCCGTAGCTCCATTGGCATGACAGGCAGATAGTTGTCCCCTCACCCTTGCCCGCCTCACTGGCTGGATCTCCAAGCCTAGGAACCAGCATGTCAGGGAGCCTTGGGAACCTCCTTGCCTAGCATACCAGACACCTCCACCCTGCAAGGCAGGGCAGGGGTTCAGCCCCAGTCACCCGCAGCTGAGTTTAAGCATCCTCGCTGCTTCTCAGAGCATCTGCCCCATAACCCCAGCTCCATACACAACCCTGAGTGACCAAGGCCTGTGCATTGGTTGAGAGGAACAGAGAAGCTGGAGAGGGTGGGAGATACCTCCTGGACCAGTATGGGTGGGGAGACCCCATTCAGGACCCCCAGATCAGCCAGGCCTGTGAGCTCCAGAAAGGACTGATTGTGTTGTTTCCAGCCTGGAGCTCAAAAAAAAAAAAGCAGCCCAGGGAACACCAAAGGATGGAATGGCACTGGGGCTAGAGCCTGGGACACAGATCACCTGCACAGTTGGAAGTGACACACCTGGTCACAACAGCTCTGACACATGCCAGGGATGACAGTGAGCCAGGCTGAGCTAAGCAGGTGCCCTTAGATGCAGAAGGAACAGAGGCTTCTCAGGGAGGATCAGCTCTACACCCAGGGCTGCGTGAGAGCAGGATAGAAGCGGTCAAGGGCAGGCCTCAGGGGTCTGCCAGCCTGGCCCATGGTGCGGACCAGGGAGGGGATAGCTCACCTAAGGTCACCCAGCCTGTAGCAGCATGATGGAAAGGACACCTTGGAGGACAGAAGCAGAACTAGAAATTGATAAATCAGCTCCAAGCCCCAAGCCCACTGACCAGGGCACGAGCCCCACTGAGTTCCCACAGGTCCCCATCCAGGCTTGCACTGTACTCCCTGCAAAACAGATTGTGGGTTGGGAAGAAAAATTCTGTTGTCCCTGTGTTGGCTGAGATAGGACAGCAGCTTCTCAGAGGGACCAGAAGGGAGCTTGGGAGGTGCCCCTTCACCCTGGGGGGTGCTTGGCCCCTCCCGAGACCATGGAGGTGAGGGATCTGGTATGAATCACCCCTAGGAAGGACCACCTGGGAGCCTGGCCCTGCATGGTCCCCTCTTGGGCCAGCACTCTGAAGAGCAGAGACCCGGGCTCACATCCTGGCCCCCCTGCTGTGTCACGTCCAGAAGCCCTCTGCCTCTGTGGCTGAGAGGAAGCACAGCCAGCTGAGGGCCCAGGGCCATGGCCAGCACATAGTGGGTGCTTTCACAGGTTTGTCCATTTGAGAGGGGTGCAGAAACAAGCAGGCCAGGTGTGTTAGGAGAAGGAATCACAAAAAGACCACACACCATGAACCTGGGGGCTCAGCAGGTGCCCACCCCACTGGAACTCAGTTTCCACAATGGTAAAATGAAGGAAATGGGTTATTCATAAGAGTTCTCTAGCACTAAACAGTCATCAATTTTGAACCCTCTCATCTTACTCCCCTCCACAAGACCGCAGATTGCATGGGTTGGATGCAGGCAGGTGGATGAGTGGATGGATGGATGGATGGATGGATGGATGGATGGATGGATTGGTGGATGGATGGATGGATGGATGGATGGATGGATGGATGGATTGGTGGATGGATGGATGGATGGATGGATGGATGGATGGATGGATGGATTGGTGGATGGATGGATGGATGGATGGATGGATGGATGGATGGATGGATTGGTGGATGGATGGATGGATGGATGGATGGATGGATGGATGGATGGATTGGTGGATGGATGGATGGATGGATGGATGGATGGATGGATGGATGGATGGGTGGATGGATTGGTAGATGGATGGATGGATGGATGGATGGATGGATGGATGGATGGATTGGTGGATGGATGGATGGATGGGTAGGTGGAGTGACAGAGGGATTTTGTTGAGGTTACATTCATATAACATACAATTAGCTATTTTGTCATGTACAATTCAGGGACATGATGTATTCCTATAATTCTGCAAGGAATACTGCTTCTAATATAGTTGCAAAACCTATTTATCCCCCCAAAAATCCACACCCACTATTCCCCATTCTTCCCTCCCCCCATTCCCTGGCAACCGCTAATCTGCTTTCTGCCCTACAGATTTACCTCTTCTGAGTATTCTGTATAAATAAAATCACACTCTATTCCTTCTTTGGTGTGTATCTTTTTCTTTGCTTATGTGTGAGGTTCGCCTATGTTGTAGCGTGAATCCACATTTCATTCCTTTTCTTTTTTTCCCTCAGTCCCGGGAATGGACCCAGCATCTTCACATTGAGCTGCTTCCCCAGACCTTTTTTATTTTTTATTTTGAGGCAAATTTCACTAAGTTGTCAAATTACCCAGGCTGGACTCAGACTAGCAACCCTCCTGCTTCAGCCTCCTGGAGTGCGAGGTTAGGAACAGGCGCCCCCACGCCTGGCTACTTTACTCCACTTTATGGTCTTCTACTATTCCACTGTGTGTACACACGCAATTTGCCTGCCCATTCACTTACTGGTCATCTGGGCTGTCTCCACGCTTCAGCGATTGTAAACAATGTCTCCATAAGCAAGTGTTTGTTTGAGTACCTGTTTGCAGTTCTTTGGAGTATTTTCGTTGGGGTTAAAAGCTAAGCTAAATGCCTATTTATTTGGGGGTAGGTTTTATTCACTGCTGAATTCCCTGGCACGGTAGGCATTTAGTGCGAAGCTGTAGAGGGAAGAAATGGGTGGCTCACCTCCTCCGATCTCCCAGGAGCCCTCCACTTCTCTCTCCCAGCGCCCCGGCACCACATCCAGGGTCTCAGTTCCTGGATCCAGGAGGCTGGAACCGAGACAGAATGAAGGGCGTCCAATCCAGCGCACTGGGGGCCCAGACAAGGGGCCCAGCGCATCTCTCAACTTGAGCTTCCCAGGGACGGCCAATGTCATCAGTGTCTGTACCCCAAAGGTGCCCCCAGGAGAGCACAGCAGCAGCCCCGTGGCCCTGCCTGAGCCCCTCCGCCTGTCTGCTCACCCAGCTGGCTTCGTGGCCTCACCAAAGGCTTCCCCTTTCTGGTCCCACAGCCCCCTGTCTGTCTGGGTGCCTCTGTGATTAGACTAGAACACGCATCTCCATATGGCTGCCCCGACCTCTGACCTCTGACCTCTGACCTCTCTTCCAGCACCATCAGCTGTATCCATCATGCATCAGGTGAGCCGCACAGTGGACAGCATCACCCTGTCGTGGTCCCAGCCCGATCAGCCCAACGGTGTGATCCTGGACTATGAGCTGCAGTACTATGAGAAGGTAGCTGTGCCTCCCTGTCCCCCAACCCTTCCCCACAGCCACCCACCAAACAAGGCACCGTGTGCAGCAGAAAGCCCTGGGCTTAGAGTCAGGATGCTGGTGCTCTATCCAGATCCACTCCTCCCCGGATGTGAAGCTCTGGCAGGCGCCTTGACCTCTCTGAGCCTCGCTTTCCTATCCCAGGGATCCAGCTGCCAACAGCTGACCTGCAGCTTTCGAAGCCCTCTCTCCACCAGAACCCCTTTCAGCAGGCTTGTGGTTGTGAAAAATGGGTTTTCCAAAAAGTTGTGTGTGTTAGCTTTTCATGACTGTGACAAAATACCCAAGACAACAACTTAAAAAAGGAGAGGTTCATGGTTTCAGGATCAGTCCATGTGTAGAAGAGGAGAAGCAGGAAGAGGAAAGGAGAGGAGAGGAGAGGAGAGGAGAGGAGAGGAGAGGAGAGGAGAGGAGAGGAGAGGAGAGGAGAGGAGAGGAGAGGAGAGGAGGGGAGAGGAGGGGAGAGGAGGGGAGAGGAGGGGAGAGCTCTGAGCTCCTCCTGAATGAATCCATGGCTGAAGTCAGCATCCTCATGGTCCTCTGAGGACCCTCTGAGCACAGCTGCGTTGAGGATCCTCTGGGACACTTGGGGTCTTCACCACAACAAGGCTCCATAAAGTGGTGACCAACCCCACAGCAGTTCCCGCTTCTATGCAGACCCACAGGTCACAGCCATTCCCGTACAGGGAGGACCAGAGCTTCCACCCAGCCATTCTGGGTCCTACATATCATGTCCCCTGTCCCCTCGAGCCACAGTGGAGAGGAGATTTCTCTTGGAGCTTTTTTTTTAATGAGACAGTAAAATAAAATTTCACAACAAAATAATAAGAGACTAACAATAGTTAACACACTGTATCTTTTTTATTTAACACACTGTCTTATCTTCAAAGTAGTTTCTCAGAGTACAAGACATCAAAAAAAATTTCTCCCTTGCAAAGAAGACACAAGCAGGTATAGCACAAAGCTTTCTTTTCAGTGATCAAGAGAAACCAGTAGTATAAATGAAACAAATTAGCATATATATTAAAATATTTTGAAACAGACTAATTTGGGGAACCATCTGAATGCCTCCCCACCTCCCATTATCTACCATTTTACTTCCTTTTCAAACATACTTTGAGTTTCTCCTGTAAAAGAAACCATGCAATATTTAATCTGACTTACCTCACTTAACATTATGTTCTCAAGTTGCATCCATGTATCTACGAATCCCTCAAGTTTCTCTGTCTTTACGACAGCTCAGTACTGCACGGTGTATAAATACCAGATTTTCCTCGTCCATTCATCTGCTGATGGACATACACGCTATTTTCAAGATCTAGCTGTTATAAGTTATGCTCCTATAAATACGGATATGCACCTATCCCTGCGATCGGAACTGCTTTGGGAGGATACCCAAGAATGGGAATAGCTGGGCACATGGAATTTCTACTTTTAGTGTTTTTTTATTAACTTTTTATTGGTACCAGGGATCGAACTCACTTCCGCCTGCTTGCAAGGCAGGTGCTGATGCCGCTGAGCTAAATCCCCAGCCTCTCCTTTTAGCCTTTTGAGGAATCTCCACATTGACTTCCGTAGTTTACATCCCCACCTCTCCCCACCCCATCCATACCATCATTTTTATTTTTAGATTTTTTGATGATAACCATTCTTCCTGGGGTAAAATGTCATCTCAAAGGAGTTTTAATATGCGTGTCTCCAATGGCAGTTTTTTTCACGTAATAACTGGTCATTTGTGCGTTTTCTGAGAAGAGTCTATTCATTTCATTTGCCCATTTTTTGATTGGGTCTTTTATTTTGGGAAGCCTAATTAGTTCAGGTTCTTTACATACTGTAAATGTCAGTCCTCTGTCTGAGAAAGAGCTGGCAAAAAGTTTTTCTCATTCTGAGTTATCTCTTCATTCTGTTGGTTGCTTCTTATGCTGTGCAGAAGCTTTTTAATTTAATATGATCTCATTTATTGATCTCAGTATTACTTTTTTTTTCTACTGAGGCTCTGTTCAGAAAGTCCTTGCTTGTCCCTGTCTTTTTTACCTATTTTATCTTCCAGCAGATTAAGTATTTCTATTTTAACATTTAGATCTTTGATCCATTTTGATGTTAGTTTAGGACATGAAGAGATTTATGGGCCCACCCTCCATGTTCTGCATATGGATATCCAATTTTCTCAACACCATTTATTAAAGAGGTTACCTTTCCTCCAGTGTTTGTTTTCGGCCCCATTGTCAAAGATCAAATAGCTGTATGTGCTTGGTTTGTTGTTTCTGTTTCTTCTGTTCTGTTCCAGGGACCCGCCTGCCTGTTTTTTGTACCAGTACCATGCTGTTTTAATTCCTATACCTTTATAGTATAATTTCAAGTCTGGAGTTGTGATGCCATCTACTTCACTTGTTACCCAGACTGCTCCTACTATTGTGATCTCTTCTTGTTCCATATGAATCTTAAGATTATTTTCTGTACCTCTGTGAGATATGCCATTGTATTTTGATTGGAACTGCATTAAATCTGTGCATTAGTTTTGGAAGTATAGCCATTTTTATTATATTGGTCCTGCCTATCCAGGAATAAGAAATATTTTTTTCATTTCCTGATTTCCTTTTTCAGAGTAATATAATTTTCACTGTAGAGGTCTTTCCCTTCCTTGGTTAGATTAATTCCCAGGTATTTAATTTTCTGATGCTATTATGGATGCTTTCATTTTCCTAATTTCTTTTTTAGTGAGTTCACTATTAGTGCCTAGGGATGCTATTGATTTCTGTGTGTTGATTTTATATCCTGCTACAATGCTGGATTAATTAATTAATTCTGGAGTCTTTGAGTGGAGTTCTTTTGTTTTTGTTTGTGGCTCTTATAAGTAAAGGATCCTGTCATGTGCAAATAATGATACTTTGACTTCATCTTTCCCTGTCCACATCCCTTTTATTTCTTTCTCTTGCCCGATTGCTCAGGCTAATGTTGAACAGGAGTGGTGTGATAGTCCTTGGAGCTTTAAAATCACATCCCTAGTTCCCCTTTGGACCCAAGGTTGGAAGCTCCTGGCAGAATACACTGGACCAGAAGAGAGCCGTGGGTTCAAATCCTAGTTCCCTCCTTAACCAGCTGTGTGGCCTCCGGCTCCCCCTGAGCCTTAGCGCCTCGTGGGTGCCATGTGGATGGGGCCACCTCTCCCAGGGGGAGAGGTGCATGTGTGCAAGAGAGGGCAGGCTCATTGCCTGGCACAGCTCCTGGCCCTTGGCAGAGACCAGTCGCCTCCGTTCTTTGTCCTCCTGCTCTGCCTCCTGCAGAAGGCAAGTGCCACACTAGAGGAGGCCAGGAAAGTTAGAAAGATGATGAGGGGTGAGGCACTTGCAGCCCAGCTGTCCCGTTCTCCAGGCTGCCCACCTTGCTCACACCAGGCTCTCAGGAGGAGTTCGGTGAGTATCTCAGGGAAGCGGCCACCGAGCTGAGGCAGGGAGTGCTGTGGGAGGACGTCCCCAGCCCTTGCCAGGTGCCTGAGCTCCTCAAGATGCAGGCACCCTATGCAGCCGAGTGTTCCCGGCCCTACATTACCCAGGGTTTCTGGTCCCTCCAGTAGGACGGCTGAGTGACTCAGAATTTTTTTAAAAATAAAAAAAAAATTTAAAAAACCTAATTAAGAAGCTTTGCGATTAAATGAAACTGAAAGTGTTTGTCCCCAAAGACAGGAGCGGAAATGAGGAACCCCAGAGCGGGTTCTGCCTGCGACCCATTTCCTACTGCAGCGGGCCAGCCTGGGAGGCTGGTGGAGGTGTGAACTGGAAGTGGTTCTGCCCTACTTTCTGCCCATGTAGTCCCAGGCCCCAGCAGGCAGGACCAGGGGGCTGTGCTGCAGCCAGGGTGACCACTGCTGCACCCCTCAGTCCCACAGCGTGAGCTGAGTACATCACCCCTGTCACCTCATTTACCCCCACAATCGTGCTCCTAGCCTGCCGCGTGGGAGAGGAAACTGAGGTACAGAGAATGTGTAACTTGCCACACACAAGGATTTGGACCAGGGCTCACTGCCTGGTGCCCTCCCTCCCAAGGTCTCCCAGGGCGATTCTGGGACGGCCAATAAGAAAGAGGCAGGAAGCTCTGCCCTCCATGGAGAATGCCAGGCACAATGGTTGCAGAAGGGTCAAGGCTGGGGCCGTGGCAGCCCAAGGCCCTCTGTGATGATACAGGACCCTCCCCTTGCCACCATCTCCCAGCAGGGCTGAGCACAGAGAAGGGAACTGAGTATCTGGACACTGGGCCATCTTGGCTTTTGTGCCAGGCATATTGAGGGTAACCAGATGGCCCAGAGGTTCAAGGACTTCACCATCCAAGGAACAGACAGACTCAGCCATTAAGGACCATGAGACAGTCTGAACCTAGCCACCGAAGCCAGCAAGGAGGGACCAGGAAGGGTACATAAATGCGGCACAGAGAAGGAGAAACTAGCATTTGTGACATGCCTTGAAAGATTATTTGAACCACTGAGCTCCCAGACAGACTCAGGATGAGAACAGTCATCTATGCAGCAGGCACAGCACGCTCAAAGGCCCTGGGGCAGCAATGTACAGCTGCATTAAGGGAACAGAGGAGACCAATGTGGCAGGAGTAATATGAGCAAGAAGGAGAGCAGCAGGGAAGCAGATTGGAGAGGGAGGCAAGGCCAGTTTATGTCCAGGCCTTGGGAGTCGGGTTTCAATGTTAAGTATGATGGGAATGTTCTGGAATGATGTGATCTGACTTACGATGCAGTAGAGATCCCTGTAGCTTCCTGTGTGGAGAACAGGCTGTAGAGGGGAACTGTGCAGGGCTGTCGTGGAACACCAATGGTGACATGGGCTCCTGGGGTTGGCAGCAGAGGTGGTGAAGGTGACAGACACTGGCACTGTCCCAAAGCTCAAGGGACCAGGGACTGGGGAGGGGTGCCTGCAGCTGGGGCAGGGGAACAGCAGATGAAGGGTGGTGCTTGTTGGAGCAGGGCTGTGGGCTCAGGGACAGGGGCTTGAGACAGCCAGGAGTGTGTGCAGAGGGACACCAGGAGCAGAGGGCGGGGCCCAGGGGACACCCAGTGGGAGACGGGGTAGGAACAAACCAGTAGCTGTTTCTGCCCCTGCTGTTCTCCACTGCTGCCCCATCAGCCAGGCTGTGAATGTAAATGATTTATTTCTGACAAGTTCATACTCCTACCCACACTTGGGGTCCTCCTGGTGCCTGTAGTTGGTTCCTTCCATGACGCCCCAGCTCTTCCTAGCGGGGACCTCACTCCTGCCTCTTCCCAAGGGCTCTCCCAGCACTGGCTCTGCATTTGACCCCTCCCCGGCTCCACTGGGATTCCCCAGCCTGCCTGGACCCCACAGCCTGGAGCTGACAGTCACTTTGCCGAAGGCTGCTGGGTGCCACCAGTGAGTGGTGTCAGGCTCGGGGCAGATCCAGGTAGGCCGCTTCCTTCCGTTCCAGCTTCCTGGGGAGGGGAACTCCTTTGGCAGCTGCCCTGAAACACTGGTCCATGCCCCTCCATGGCTCTGCAACAGCTCAGGAAGCTGTCTGTAGTGGACAGGCCCTCGGAGGCCACATGGCTGTCCGCATTTATTCAACAGAAACGTCTCCTGGGTGGCCACAGCAGGAAAGGGCGCTCCGGGCAGGTGAGCCCAAGGTGACGGGGTGGACTGTGAAAGTCCAGGCTGTGCTCAGGTTGTTGCCGTGGACCTGGAGCAGGACCTACCAGGAAAGGCCTGTTTGCTCAGTTGTTCACTTTTGGCTTGGTCCATAATGGTGCTGATGGTAGCAATGATTTTCCAAGCCGGCGTTAACAAGGCCTTCTGCATAATGAAGAGGACTCGTACACTCAAAGCTCTAGCCATGTTCTCCTGCTGAGTCTCCTACGCAAAGAGCCACATCTACCATGGTTATCCCACTTTAGCGATGAGGCTGGGGGCCGAGGATACACACGCCCTCTAGCTGATTGGCCCTGAGTCTCCGGGAAGGACTCAAAGGAAGCACGAGTGAATTTCAGACCGAATTTCCTCACATCGCCTCTGGTGTTTAATCACTGTTCAGAGAGACGTACTCCAGAGAGATGAGGCAGAGGGGACGTGATGTCTCCAGGCATCCCCAGTGTGCCAGGCACTCCTGATCCGATTTTACATTCACAGCAGCCCTGAGGGGTTGCCATTTATTGCTCCATTTTCTGGAATGGAAACCAGAGGCTCAGGACAGTGAAGGGTCCTTCCCGCAGCCACAGTGCAGGGAGAGGAAGAAACGGTATTGGAAAACAGCTTCTAATCCCGGCTCTGTCCTAAGCTGGGCTTTTGAGAAGGAAATTGCTAAGGTCAGTTCCTTGCTCTCCAGAGACAGCTATGACACCAGAAGTCACCTCACACACACATAACCAGGCGCTTAACACCTCCAGCGTTCCTGTGGGCACCCACCCAATCTGCACAATCGGACTTTTTGCTCGCCCAGAGATCCCTGTTGGATAGCGGTTCCTAGTGGCCGAGTATGGTACTGCATCCAGGGTCTTCGAGTTTTTTTACTAGTTTGCAATTCGTTACTATTCATTATGTCACTGTTTAGTGAGCACCTACTATGTGCTGGTCCTAGGGATCTGGAGATGAGCGATGTAGCCCAAGACCTACGGGACCCCCATCCTCAGAGAAGAGGCCGTAGGGCCTGTGAAGCCCCCCCAGCAGAGGGTGGCACCTGTGCTGAGTCTTGGATGATGAGCAGGGAATTACTAGACAGAAGAGGAAAGGGTGTTTCAGACTGGGGCAGCCTGCTTGCAAAAGCTCAGCGTGTCCAGGGGAGGCAGGATCATGGAGCTGCTGGGGTCTAGCTCAGCCGCAGAGAACTTGCCTAATAGGCATGAGCCCCTCGGTTTGATCCCCACCACTGCAAACCTAAAAATAAAATACAGAAGACAGGATTCACTTTGAATTTTCAAGACTAATTATACTACGCCCCAAATATTTCACGGACCATATATACACTAAAAATGTTATTTAGTACTTATCTAAAACCCAAATTTAGGGGTCGGGGATACAGCTCAGCGGCACATGCACCTGTCTGGCAAGCACAAGGTCCTGAGTTCAATTCCCGGTACCAAAAAAAGAATCCAAATTTAACTGTGCGACCTGTATTGATGTGTGTTACATCTAACATCTCTCAGGGAAGGAGGAAGTAACGGGGGACATCTGGACCCTAGAGGACACCAGAGATGTGGCAGGAGAGACTAGCAAAGGGTGGCCATGAAGGGCCCAGTGAAAGAGTCGGCCTCCCCCTGTGGGCACTAGAGAACTCTGGTTAGCACCTGCGCTTGGTAGAGGACAACAAAGCACACACCCATAGGCCAGGAGGGCAAGATGGTCCCTGGACTGTTTCAAGGTTTCACCCCATTTTCACAGTTTGGATGTGTCCCCCAAGTTCACATGTCGGAGGCTGCACCCCCAGTGAATAGGGTTGGGAGGCGACCGCTAAGGGGCGACTGGTTCTGGAGGGCTTTGCCCGGGAATGGCCTGACGCTGTCTTTCTGGGAAGGGGTTTGTTATGGTGAGACTGGATTCTTTTATTTTGTGGTACTAGGGATCGAACTCATGACCTTGCACTTGTCAGGCAGGTGTTTGTGCCTCTGAGCTACATTCCCGGCTCCTAAGTGTTCTTTATGGTGAATCTAGGGTGCCCACTGTCCAGGGGAGCTCAGGGTGTGCCCTGAGTCACCCGGCAGCCCCACCCGGGGAAGCTCCCAGCCCCCAGGTCACAGTGCTTACCCTGCCCGTGTGACTGCCTTCACCCATTGACGCGTTTTACCCTCCAAAGCGTGCCTTGAGGTTGCCATTATGACGATGATGATTCCCCGTTTACTAATGAAGCAAAAAGATACAGAGAAGTCAAAAAGTTTGCTACACAAAATTAACAAAGTTAGGGTTTGAGCCCGGGGAACCTAACTCCCTTTTGTGGTCTGAACTTTCCAACGATAATGCCATAATATAGCTCACACAAATTGTCACTGTTTTGGGGGATTCAAGAGCTCTGTGCACTCTGAGATACTTAGAGAAGGTTTGCTGAGTGGCTGGCACATGCCTGAGTTTACATCTCCTGCATCCAGCCCACCTGCATCTGCACCCCATTATGCAATGGATCTGTCCTGCCCCAGACTCCTTGGGTTACCCCTGGCAGTACACAGGAGGCTGGAATTGGTGTTCTCTGTCTCTTGAAGGAGGGAACATTAGGATCTGGCTACCCCAGGCATGCACAGTACAGGTGGTTCCAGGCAGTCCCAAAGCAGCCATCAACTGATATGTGATGGCTGATAAGTATCATTTCCCCCTTTGGGGCCTCCATTCTCACCTTGCCCAGGTATGCTGAGCCTACGAAGGGACCCTTCCACTTAATCCAGCTAGGCACGGGCAGGAGGCAGGTGAGGAAGTGATGACATAGGGCCCTCCTGCTGCCTCCAAGGACTTCCAGCCTAGTTCATGTGTGTATTAGTCAGCTGTTGCTGAGACTGTGCCATAAAACAAATATTTCCTCCAAATCCAATGACATACAAGAAGTTATTTCTTCCTTATAAATTTGTGTCTGGGAGTTATCCAGGGTGCCCTGTTCCAGCCTAGGAGTTGGATCAAGGTCTCGATACATTTCTCATTTTAAACCAGCGGTTACTCAGGGCACTCATGACAGATGGTGGGTACACAGGAAACCTAACCAAACCAGCAAACCCACAGAAAACTTGTGTTGTGTCCATCAGTGTGGCGTCCACTAGGATATTCCAATGGCCAAAGCAAGCCATGTGGCCAAATCAAGCGTCCATAGGGAAGAGAAAACCTGCCTTCTTTGTAGGAAGTATTGAAATCCGCCTGACAATGGGCCATGGCTGTGAATCGATTATAAGTGTGAAGAATGAGGAGCCACAGACATTGACCCACTGGCCAGACCTGCCCGGATGTACCAGCCATGGGCAGGCGTCTGACCCGCGCTGGGCCACCCCCTGACTGACTGTCTTCTCTGTTCCTGGCAGGAGCTCAGTGAGTACAACGCCACAGCCATAAAAAGCCCCACCAACACGGTCACTGTGCAGGGCCTCAAAGCCGGCGCCATCTATGTCTTCCAGGTGCGGGCACGCACCGTGGCAGGCTACGGGCGCTACAGCGGCAAGATGTACTTCCAGACCATGACAGAAGGTGAGCCACCTCTGGGGCGCCAGAGGAAGATACCCCCTCCACACACAGAACCAGGCCAGGGTCCCATTCATAGGGAGCCCCTCTTCCCGATGTCAAGAACTCAGCCCTAATTTGCAGAGCAACCTTGAGCAATTCATTTCCATCCCCTGCTCCAGATTCTTTTCATCTATAAAATGAAAACATTGTATCCCATCTGAGAGGATAGATATATTATATGTACACTCAACTCCAGTGACTTGGAATGGGACTGAGAATTCTGAAGCCATATCAAAATTCAGTAGGAAGAAGTGCTGGGATAGATTAGTAATGTCTGCCCTGGGTATAGAATTAGATGTCCTAGTCTGTGTGCTATGCATGTTTTCCAATCCAGAGCTACATGGTCTCTGAACACAATATCTCCTTTAATAATCTTTAAAGAGCACCAGACATTAAAGAATGTGAACTCTGAAACCAGACAGATGGAGATGCCTGGGATGCTTCAGCTCTGTGTGGCTTTCCTTACCTCTATGTCACCTTACCTCTGTGACCCTGTTTTTTTACCCATAAAAGGGAGTGACAGCAAGCATGTCATCACTGTCATCATCAAAATAATCTAATGATGAAAAACCTAGCAGAGAGTTGATTTTAGGGTCTGCAGGTAGTTAGCACTCACCAAATAGTACTTATAGTTTTTATTATTGTGCATCCAGGACTCTGTCACCAACCAGAGCTGCTGAAACCCTTTACCTATGGCCACACCCCAGCATCTGCTCAGCCACAGGGCACAGGCCTTGACCTCTGTCTGGCTGACTATTGCAGAGGCTCCTGGACCCCTAAATTCTTGTATTCTATAGACGCCCCCCCCCCGTCTCCCTTTCTCTTCTAGCACCCACTCTCCACACACCCTCACCCTTCTTCATGGCCACCTGTTTCCACCTTTCTGCCTTTCCTCATGTTGGATGAGTTCCCTGACTGGGGACTCGGGGCACTTTCCCAAGTTCCTTTATTAATTCAACACATGTGTCTTGGGACCCTAGAAAATGCCAGGCTATGTGCGGGCACCAAGAACCCAGAGACCTCACCCCTGATCTCGGTGAGAGGTAATAACAATGAACCAGCGATGGGGCTGATAGCATGGAGAAGGTGGTGGGTGGTTCCCAAGAGCCGGGCCAAGCTACATGCACCTCACATGACTCTCATTCACACCCGGGTCTTGGGTGGGACAGACCCCAGTCCACATGCTGGTTTTAGCCCCTTCTTGGCTGTATGACCTCAAGCAAGTGATGACCTCACTGAGCTCAGTGCCTCCGCTATAGAACGGAGCAGAGACGGGAAGGGCACCATAGCTGTTCCGAGAATTGAACAAGATCTGTCACGTACTGGGCCCGGTGACTGACAGCTGAAGCAGTCGGTGACAGTGGTGGCTACTGCTCCCTGCATGGTGCCGCGTGTCAGCTGTTACTTGAAGAGCCTCGCACACAATCCCAGCAGCTGGGAGCAGTCATGTTCCTCAGTTTAGAGACGAGGCAACTGAGGCCCAGAGAAGTGACTGCAGGCCTACACACACAGCAGGTGGCATTGCTGGGATTCACCCACAGGGAGTCTGACCCCACGCTCTGCACTCTGACCTGCCCCTTGGTCAATGTCAATTTTATTAATGCCGATCACCATGCAACACAGACGTGGGCATAATGCACCCATTTTATAGATGAGGAACTGAGGGTTGGAGCAGCCCATGGACTTGTCCCAGGCTACTCATGAGAATGTGATGCTCATCCTCCACCTGGACACGTGACAGAAGCTTGGAGTCACAGGAGACCCATCATTGGTGCAGGTGGTGCCAGGCCCCCCGTGCCAGGCTGAGACGGCCCTCTGTTCTTTTCCCCACAGCCGAGTACCAGACCAGCATCCAGGAGAAGCTGCCTCTCATCATTGGCTCCTCGGCCGCCGGCCTGGTCTTCCTCATTGCCGTGGTTGTCATAGCCATCGTGTGTAACAGGTGGGTGTCCCCGAGCCTGCTTGGGCCTGGCTATCCCAGATGGCTCTCTCCAGCCAACCAGCCATTCCCAAGCTGCCTTTGTGAGCAGGGGGACTCAGGCCCAGACACCCTCCTGTGGCCACTAGCAGCCCTCCCTTTGGTGAGCCACAGTGCTTGACCAGTTCTCTGGGCAGAAGGGTGGCATGCTGAGGTCCCAATGTGTCGCACCAAGGAACATCTCAGAACAGTAGATGGAGTGACTGCGGGATGCCAGGGGATACAGGGCAGGCAGTATAGGTCACCCCCCTTTTCTGCATGAATTGAGGCTGTTGGCTAAAGTGCTAGAACGATGGTATAACGCAGCCACGACAGGCTTGGGGAGACAGCCCCCCAGGTGGGCAGCTCAAGCCAAGGAAGCACCAGCTCCCTCACCTCCACTGGACACAGTGCAGAGTCTTCCTCCTTAGAGTCCCCCTCTTTCAAACAGACCGGACCCACCGTGAGGTCAGAGGCACAGAAGCCCCTGGGCCTGGAGGAAGGCTTTGCTCTCTGAAGGGGGCTTGACTGGACAGATGACAGGAAGAAGAGCACCCTGCACTTGAGATGGGAGAGGTGCAGAGGGACAAACGGGGCCGGAGGGTGAGGCTGTAGGCAAGAGACGGGCAGGGAGCCCTGTCCCAGAGGGGGCCTTGAGGGCCGTCCACCCTCTCCCTATCACCTCCTGTGGCTCCCAGCTCCCCGGGGCGTCCACAGGTGGCTACAGCCCTTTGCTTTTGTTCCAGAAGACGGGGGTTTGAGCGTGCCGATTCGGAGTACACCGACAAGCTGCAGCACTACACCAGCGGCCACAGTACGTACACAGCCCGGGCGGCTGTAGCCCTGGGCCTGTCCCTGTTGGTCCCCACCCCAGCCTCTGTTCACCTCCTCCTACTGTACTGCAGCAGAGAGGCTGTCAGGCTGCTCCCAGGGTGTGCCGAACTCGCTCTCACAAGCTCAGGCCTCGTGGCCACGTGTGGTGCTGTTTCCCGGTCTCCTGAAGACCTGAAACTGCACCTCATGTTCTCCCTGCAGCACTTAGCACAACACCAGCAGCACCCAGTGCATAGCAGGCGCTAAAGACACAGCTACCGAGTAAGCACCAGAATGGTTGAGGTGACAGGAACCCGGGCTCTGGGCTGGCTACAGGTCCTTTCCTCTCTCTCTCTCTCTCTCTCTCTCTCTCTCTCTGGGCCTCCACCCACCCTGTCCTTCCTCCCCAGAGTCCTCTGGAGGCTGCTTCCCCTCACTGTCTCTTCCTGCTTCAAGCAAGAGCTGAATGTGTAGGTGCCCCCTAAACACCAAGGAGAGATGAGCCAGGAGGGCCAGAGAGAAAAGCAGATCATAGATCCCTTTCTCTATTTGATCTCGGCAGACCGATAATCAAGACATAGGGAATGTGGGATCAAGGGGAAAGCTTAGTCTTTAATGCAGCTCATTCAGCAAAAACAAATTCCAAATGGTCCAGGGTAGTTTCTCAAACTGTGCTCAGTGGGGTACCCTAGAGTTCCTCCCATGGCTGCCTCCTGGCGAGGACCCTCGTCAGATCGTTCATCTGTCACACATGTCGACTGCTAGCCAGTGCCCCAGACAAAGACACAAACTGAAGATCCCGGCCTCCATAGAACTCATGCTTTGGTAGGAGGGGCAGGGAATAAGGAGATGTGTTCTAAACACCTGGCACGCTGTGCATGAGAAGACGAAGGTGCTGTGGGGGATGGCGAGGTGGAGCAGGGTGGTAGGTGGAGAGCTGGAAGTGAGGGCGGCTGCATCTCTAAGTAGGGGAGTAGAGGCTGACCTCATGGAGGGGTTCTGTCCAAGCCACGACACAAACATGCTGGGAACTGGGTCCCTTGGCGATGTCTGAAGGAGGAGCCTTCCAAGCAGAGGGGAGAGACCGTCAAAGGCCCTGAGCCTGAGCTTGCCTGCAAGGTTTCAGGAAGAACAAAGAAGCCAGGATGACTAGAGCAGAGAGGGCGGCGATGGGAGCTGGCAGGAAGCCTTGGCAGGGAGTGACGGGGAGCCACAGCAGGTTCTGGGCAGAGGACGGGTGTGCTGAGTTACGGTCCTCGCGACTTCCAGGCTGCTGCGTGAAGAGTGGGTCAGAGCAGGGAGACCATCCAGGTGGCATCACGCAGGGCAGATATGGTGACGGTGGTGCACATGTGAGAAGTGGTTGGATTCTGATTTACGTTTGTCCCTAGATTTGCTGTGGGATTGAATATGGGACATGCAAGAAAAAGCAGAGTCAGAAAGTTCTAGATACTGAACCTCTGGCAAAGAGCACTGAAGCAAAAGTTCTTGGGCTTTGCACTAGTTTGGGACAGAAATGTAAAAACGATTACACTCAAACTTCCTAGCAATCTCTGCTTAACAGATAAGGGTTTTCTGAGCAGAAGAGCAATCGGAAGGGTCACACGCAAAAAAAAAAGGTAGACACATTTAACTGCACAGAAATAAAAATCACTTGTGCATTAAAAACAAGTCATAAATTACATCACTGCCTCCTCTCCCCAAGTAATAAAATCATGATCGTAGATGTGGCTGGACATACTGAGTGCGTTCTGTGTGCCAAGAATTGTTTTAATGCTTAACGTGTATTTATTGGTTTAATCCTTGTAATTTTGCACTTTGAGGCAGCTGGGCACGGAGGCCACACAGCTGCTCAGGGAGGGAGCTGGGTCGGAACCTGGTTGTCTGGCTCCAAAGCGAGAGCTCCCGGCCTCCTGTGCTGTCTCTATTCTGTGGAGGCAGAACGAGACAGCTCTCGGGCTCTGCCATTTGGGAGCACGGTTATTTGGAGCGTGAGTCAATAATAAGGAAACAGGGTGATTTGTTTTAAAAATAGGCTCCAGGATCTGTTCCTAGATCAATACATTTCAAGCCTGAGTTCCCGCTCCCCACGTCCTGTGCTGGAATGTCAGAGCGAAGCAGGACTTTGTTCTTTTCAAAGCTCTGTCCGCCCTGTGATCCCAAATCCACCAGCAGCCCCATGTGGCCAGGCCAGAGGAGGAAGCGGAGACCTGGGGATGCATGTGACCAGCACGGTCACCTGCACAGACTCATGCTTTCCATCCATTAGCAGGTGCTCCGTGGTCCTGAACGACCTTGGGGACGACCCTGGACGTCCACCTCTGGGTCTGACCTTGTTTCTTATGCCCGCTCTGCCCCTGGCCAGCTGGGTGACCTTGGGGAAGTCATCAAACCTCTCTGAGTCATGGGATATTTCTGTGGGGTACAGCAGGAATGAGGCTTCTTTCACAGGGGTGTGAGGGATAAATGAATGAAGGGATGGTAAAGTGCTTTGAGGTAATAATATTTAATAATAGCCAGCCCTTCTTTATAGCATGTAATTATTACTATTTCCTGACAATTGTATGAGCACGTTAAACAGACACTCTCATTTAATTTTGCTGTCCCCTCCAGCGGAAGGGATACAATAATTGTATTGTATCCATTCTGCAGATGGAAAAATAAAGCAGCATTTAAATAACATGCCCCAGGCCACACAGCCTGATCCACATAGCAGGCAGCTGATCCTGGATTCAAACTCACAAAGTAGTTTTTTTTGTGATATTGTTAGCAGCAGAGTCAGAATTCACACTCAGGATTCTGTCACATTCTCCTCCGGCCTCCTGCAGTTCTCATCTGGGTTCAGAGTGACAGTTGTGGCCCTGACAGCTGTGGATCATCCATTGTTTTGTGTGCCACAGCTTCCAGAGGGCTGTGGTGGTTCTCCTCCAGGCTCAGGTTAGCAAACACCGCCTGGACTCAGGTCTGTGTGAGTTCCGGCCACCAGGTGCTCACTTGTGGTGCCTGGAGAGACCACGGGCTGGGGGAGCACAGCAAGAACCTAGCAGCTGGCTAGATGGTGCAGTGTAGACTCTGGGACCAGCCTGGGTTCAGAGCCCACCACTGCTGTTGCCAGCTGTGTCCATGCCCCCTTGGGGCATCACTTCACCTTCTTACACCACAGTTTCCTCATCTGAAAAATGGGAATCATATTAGGTTGGGCCAAACGAAATAGCTGTTTTTGTAATTAGAAGCAGTCAAATATTGACTATTTCATCAGTGGTAGGTCATTGGGAGGATTCATTGGATTAAGTGGGTCAAAAACTATAAACAGGGCCCAATACCTGGTAAATTCACACTGCATATACATTCAGTAAGCATCTATTAGGCACCGGCTGTATACCACCTTCACATACGTCCTCTAGGGCCAGCATGCCAGAGCAAGGGCTCATAACTCAAGGTCCATGGACCATTAAAGCTTCCAAGGCAGGGACAAAACAGGCACAGCCTCTGTCCTCCTGGAGACAAGCAGCAGAGTGTTCCAGGAAGAAGAGGCAAGGAGAGTGGAGATGTGTCGCTGGGGACCCTGTGCAAAGTGGGAAAGTCTCACAGGCATCCGGCAGTGGGATGATGGGAACCAGAAGAGAGGGCGCTGAGTCCTCACTGGAGAAATCCAGGCAGGCTTCACAGAGGAGGCATCTGATCCAGTTACAAAGAAGAGAGGAGGGCGTTCCAGGTGGAGAGAACAACATGAGCAAAAACTCAGAGGCAGAAAAGTGCCTGGAAGCCCTGGGTAAATAACTCCTTTTAGCCGGTGTATTAGTCCATTGTCCATTGCTGTAACAAAATGCCTAAGGCCAGGTAAAGCATAAAGAAAGTTTATTGGGCTCCCAGTTTTGGAGGTTGGTAGCACAGGGCTGACATCAGCTTGGCTCTGGTGAGGGCTCAGGGGTGGATGGAATTGTGGTGGGAGCATATGCGAGAGGGAGCAATCATGCAGACAGACACGAAGCCACAGTCAGGGAGAGACTGTCTTGCTTTTTTATAACCTCTTGGGAGACTTGATCAATTTCTGCCAACAACATCCTGGCCCCCGCCAGTGCCCAGTTACCTTGCACTGGGTTATACCCTGAGGACCCAGCCTCCAACGTGTGACCCTTAAGGGGGCAGCAGGTCCAAACCATAGCAGACTGGGAAGGGAGGGGCAGGGAGCAGTGGAATGAATCCTGGAGAGCTTGGCGTGCAGGGCACAGGCATTTGCCCAGAAGTAACAGAGACCCCTCCTGACCAAGGCCTCTGCCAAGGCTGGGGGATGGCATCTAATGTGATCAGCCAAGATGCTGCGGCAGGCTTTGAGCTTCTGCTATGGCTCCCTGAGCTCCCTGAGCCAGTCTGTCCCTGTCCTCCCTCCCAGCTGACCGAGAGCCAGTCACTGTCACCCACGGACTCTGCCTTGTCTAAGTAAGAAAAAGCGTCTCCCAGAGCTGGCGCTAGCTGCCCCGAGGGAGCAGGAAGGCAGGCACCTTCTCACTCTCTTCCTGCCAGATCCAGGAAGCAGTGATCGTGGTGATCCAGACCACTAGGCTCAAGTCGGACAGCTCTGAGTCCAGCTGTGTGGCGTTGGCTGGACTTCTTGGCCTCTCTGAGCTGCAGTTCCCTTATATTGAAGTGGGGATTATCATCCTTTCTTCCAAGAATTGTTGGGAGGAGTAGATGAAGCAATGCGTGTAGACAGTCTGGCACCGTGTTGGGCACAGACAAAGGACTCAGTAAGTGACAGATGCCGTTGTTATTATTTCCTCCCCGTCATCTGGATTCTCTCCATTCTCCTCACACCGAATGTCTTCTGTGAGAAGCTCCATGCAGTGTGCCAGGCAATGGGGAATGAGAAGAGACTGCACCACTGCCTCCTCCCAGGCAATCAGGCTTGGATGATGCTTGAACTTAACCTCTTTTGGGCATCTCAGACTCCTATAAGACTCTCCTGAAAGTTTGGGTTCATATGGCCAGAAAAACACAAAGAAGTTTGTGCGTATGTGTCTAAAATTCCAAGATAGAAAGATACTATACTTAGGGATGGATTTTCAAGAAAATTTCAACAATATTTATTTCCATAATATTTGAGCTTTACAAAGAATGTGAATATTTTTTAATTCAAAAAAGGAACAGTAATAAATGCACCCCCTTCCAAGAGGTTACCAGATACCTCCTCCCTCCAGGCACAAGTTAACAACCCCTGATCTCAAGGGCTAGACAAACACCAAATATAGCAAGTGTTAGAGCAGTGGTTGGTAACTTTTTCTGTAATGGGCCAAAGGAAGTAAATATTTTAGGCTTTGTGGGACCCTTTTGTAGCTATCCAACTCTGCAGCTGTGAGATAAAAGCAGCCACGGGCCGAGGAATATGTGTGGCTGTGTTCCAATAAAACTTTATTTAAAAATCAGGCAGCAGCCCAGTTTGCCAGCCACTATGCTATAGGCTGTAGTTCCTAGATTCCTGAAATGTCTAAAATAGAGGCTGAGTAGCCAACTAATCTGTGGAAGGCCCTGCTCACCACCTAGCCAAGCCCGGGTGACCCAGAGACTCCAGCTGCCAGTTCCTAGAGCAGCCCCCAGAGCTAGGGGGAAGTGTGGGCAGGAGCCAGGTTGGCCAGGGAAAGGCCAGAAGTTCTGGCAGCAGAGACCAGTCATGGGGAAGAGGAATGCAGGACGGATCATCTTTCCTTCCCTTCTGAGCACTTTACAGACTCGGTGCTAGGTCAGAACTGGGTCTTCGATGTCTAGATTATCTTCTTTCTCGGCATCAAAAGCTAAAAATCTATGTCAGATCAGGAATCAAATTAGCAGGCCACATGTCCAGCCTCATGCTGATCACCAGGGAGTCAGGGATCAGGAAGGCTTAAGACATGGCTGGGAGGTGGACCCCAAACTGTGGGTGTCCAGACCCTGGTGAATCAAGTGCCCTCCAGGCTATGGGGCCTGCCTTGGAGGGACAGGGCAGCTGGGAAGGGTTTCAGAGTGGTAGGGAAGCTTCAGGTGAGCCCGAAATACAAGGAGGAGGTCTCCTTCAGAGGACCCCAAGAAGCTTCCTGTAGTTCGGCTCTGTCTCTTCCTCTTTCTCTTGCTTTATTTGGCAACCCTGACTCTAAGTAAAGGCCAGCAAACCTATTCTTATCAGCCCACACCAGTAACAATGCAGAGGGTCTTTTAGCTACCCCAGAAAGCCATTACTAATCAATGAATGTTGGACAAGAACTAGTTAGGACCATCTACTGGCCACCTCTGCTGGCCTCTCTGTTTTCCTCACCATTTTGCTCAGTGCCCATCTTGTTCCACGAGGCTCAGAAAGATCAAGTGACCTGAGGGGGTTGCCCAGTTCTTATGGGAGTCCCATGGAGGGACAAGTTTTTCCATTCGTCCACATTGTCCACATGGCCAGTCCATGTGACCAGCTGGTCTCGTCCCCCAGTGACTCCAGGCATGAAGATCTACATCGACCCTTTCACCTATGAGGACCCCAACGAGGCAGTGCGGGAGTTCGCCAAGGAAATTGACATATCCTGTGTCAAAATCGAGCAGGTGATTGGAGCAGGTAGGTGACATCAGCCACAGATAATGCCACCCCAGTACTCCATGGGCAGGATGGGGAACAAGAGCCACAAAGGACCTACCCCTCAAAACCCAAAGGCTCAGAATGCCCAAGGAAGAAGGGCCCTCAGAGGTGATCAGTAAGGACAGAAAGAGAAACTGAGGCACAGTACTATGGAGCTTGCACAGCAAGTCAGAGATAGAGCTAGGTCGAGACCCATTTCCCAGGATTCTCCTCTACTATTCTCTGGTCCCTCTTCCCACCTCTCAGGGTCCCCCACACCCAGCCAAGTATTACAGGATGAGCATGAAGGATTTGCTGTCTGCTCCCAAAGGTGTCTGGGGCTTCTCAAAGGCGTTTTGCATCTTAGAGGATGAGTTGACTGTTGAAAAGAGCACCTTCAGGCCCCAAAAGTGGAGGTGACAGGAACAGGGAGGGGGCACTTTCACCCGGCAAGTGACATGCTGCTTCTCTTGGTGTGTTTTTTTTAGGGGAGTTTGGCGAGGTCTGCAGTGGCCACCTGAAGCTGCCAGGCAAGAGAGAGATCTTTGTGGCCATCAAGACACTCAAGTCGGGCTACACGGAGAAGCAGCGGCGGGACTTCCTGAGTGAGGCATCCATCATGGGCCAGTTCGACCACCCCAATGTCATCCACCTGGAGGGTGTTGTCACCAAAAGCACGCCTGTGATGATCATCACTGAGTTCATGGAGAATGGCTCCCTGGACTCCTTCCTTCGGGTAGGGAGAGCCAAGCATGTCAGGGCCCACACGATGGGAAGAGGAGGAATGGGGACATAATTTATACTATCAGAGCCTGAAGGATCTTGGGAAAGTTCTAGGCAAGAATGGATGTCACTGTGTATCCATTTCCTTCCCTGGGGCAGGCACTGCTAATCAATCCCAGCACTGTCTCCCACTGAGCTCAGACCATCCAATGTATTTCCCCCAGGGTGCCATTCAGAGTTGGCACATGCCTGAGATCTGTTTCCATCTGTGCTCTTAGGCAGCCTGCTCCTTATGCCCAAGAGGATCTGAGCTCAACGATAGGGAAGACTTGCCCCAGGTCTCTAGAGGGTCAAGGTGAGAGCCCAGACTGGACCCAGGTGATTTGACTCCTCATCTAGCAGATTTTGGAGTTCCCCAAGGGCAATAAGCTGTGAGGAAGTTCTCAGAGTACAAGGCCAGCAGAGGAAGTTCCAAGACCCCTCAGGAATGGGCCATGCAGTTAGCCAGCAGCGAGGCAGAGAGCTGGGCATCAGCACTGTGCCCTGGGCTGTCACTCAACAAACATATTTTCCCCTGTAACTCAGCGCGGCCTTAGGAGGTTAGATGCTATCTCCGTGCAGCACACAGATTAGGAACTGAACTCAGAGAATGTAGGTTATGTGTCCAAAGCTGCACAGCCAGGACAGGGCAGAGCCAGAGTTAAAGTAGGGATTTCTGATCCAAAGCCTATATTCTCTTCACCACCTTGAAGTCAGCCTCATGGGCCTCTCTGAGGCCCCAGGGCATGCAAGTCCTCCCCATAGGCAGGCCAGGAGCCCACTCTGGTTCCCATTGTGGGGGGACCCAGAGCTCTGCTGCCTGCTCTTCCTCTTAACCCGCTCCTCCACTTCTCCCAAAGCAAAACGATGGGCAGTTCACAGTAATCCAGCTGGTGGGCATGCTGCGGGGCATCGCAGCCGGCATGAAGTACTTGGCAGACATGAACTACGTGCACCGTGACCTGGCTGCCCGCAACATCCTTGTCAACAGCAACCTGGTCTGCAAGGTGTCTGACTTTGGGCTCTCTCGCTTTCTGGAGGACGACACCTCAGACCCCACGTACACCAGCGCCCTGGTAAGACTCAGGTGGCAACATGGGAGCCACAGCACCACAGGAGAGAGCGTGAGCCCCCATCTCTCCCTGCACTGTGCTTTCCCTGGCACCTGTGCCAGGCCCTGGAGACGGGGAAGGAACTAAACTGTGGTACCTGCCTGCCTGAAGCTCCCGGGCTGGTCGGGAACACAGAGTGCAGGGCGATATGAAATGACAGGGCTGTAAGCTGGGACACGCAGCTTTGGGAGACAGAGAAGGCAGATGAAGCTGGTAACAGCTAAGCCTAGAGCTGGAGGGCCCAGACAGGTTTCTTAGACTGCATATGCTTGTGGTGGGTCAGGTGACCCGGATGCAGATTGTGCTAAAGAGCTAGGCACGCTGGATCCTGGAGATCCAGGCTCGGATATGCACTGACAGCAGTCAGACTTGAAGGGTTTTAACCCAAAAGGAAGAAAACTCAGGCCCAGTCCTCAAAGAGCTCAGAGGCTGGGCAAGGAGAGCAGGGCAGGGCAGCACTGGGCACACTGTGCCATGCGGGAAGTACCTTCTCGATGGAGAGACAGAAGGCAGGCTTGTGAGGTTAGAGAGACCAACAACTCTTTGGAACCCATGGAAAGGCTCTCAGAGGGATTCAAGGAGGAGAAGGAGGTATCCGCTGGCGAGGTGGGAAAAGATCCCTCCAGCAGAAGCAATGGTATGTGCAAATGTCCAGTAATCTGAAGAAGCACGGTGAGTGGAGAAGGAGGTTTTTCATGAGATTAGTGCAGCGCAGAGCACAGGGTGGAGAGTATTGAGAAGAGGTCAGACAGGGCCACCTCCCACCCATCGTCTCCTCATTCTGTCTTTCAGGGCGGGAAGATCCCCATCCGCTGGACAGCTCCAGAAGCTATCCAGTACCGGAAGTTCACCTCAGCCAGCGATGTGTGGAGCTATGGTATCGTCATGTGGGAGGTGATGTCCTACGGGGAGCGGCCCTACTGGGACATGACCAACCAGGACGTAAGTCTCCCGGAGGTGGGCAGAACCTTTCTGGCCAGGCAGATGGGAAAGCGGAAGACGGGACTCTGTGCCAATCTCCCAGGCGTCTGAGATGGAGGGCGCGGCTGCTCCCAGGTCACTGTTGACTGATTCAGATGTCTGCACAGGACCCTGGACTCTCCAAAGGACAGGGAGCAGGAAAGGCCACCCATTCACAAATCAGTAAATATTCAGGTGTATATACCTTGTGGCCACCTCAGATATGAGGCCATGTCTATCCTTTAGGCATTTACCACCTAACTGGGGAACAAGACTGTTATCAATGGAACCAGACATAATTATCAGGTACTTTCACAATTAGGTACTAAATTGGAGAAGGGATGTGTTAAGCCTTGTAGACATTAAGGCTGGGGCAGCAGGGCCAAGACAGGGCAGGTAGGACCCAAACTGTAATAGGACTTAGAGAGTGAGGGTTCCCGGGTGGAAAGAGCACGACAGCCTGTGCAAAGGCCCGACGCAGGATAATGAGGAGTGGGTGGAGGAGCCTTGTAGAGGGATGCTGGGCGGAAAGCTTGCTGATAGACCATAATGAGGTATTTAAAGTGACTCAAGGGACTTTCGTTTGCAAAAATCCAAACAGGAAGGACTTGCAAAAGCTTCCTGAACAGAGAGGCTGACTCATGGCCGAGTTGTAGATCAATCTGGTCACAGAGGCAGGATGCACAGAGAGGTGTCCGGCTTCCTTTCTCTGGTAGAGGAGCAGGTGGGGGCTGTGTGAAGGGGACCCCAGCCAGGCTCAAAGCTGTACTGTGGAGCTGAACAGGGAAGTTACTGCATACTGGACCTGTAGATGGCACTGAAATAGGAATGTGGACACTCTGGGCTCAAGCCTGGGGGCAGAAAGGGGCATCTTCAGAGTCCCAGCTGCCAGGTCAGATGGTGGAAACCCTGCAGCTGGAGGTAGTTGTCATGGCAACCATGTAGGTTAAAACTGCAATGCGCTGGGAACATGATGGGCCTGGCAGAGGGGAGACACCGACCTCACCCCATCCCTATGCTGTCCCCAGGTAATCAATGCCATTGAGCAGGACTATAGACTACCACCGCCCATGGACTGTCCGAGCGCCCTCCACCAGCTCATGCTTGACTGCTGGCAAAAGGATCGAAACCACCGGCCCAAGTTCGGCCAGATCGTGAACACGTTGGACAAGATGATCCGAAACCCCAACAGCCTCAAAGCTATGGCACCCCTTTCCTCTGGGTAGGCTGCCTTGGTCCCAGCCCCATCCCCTCCCCTGGTACCAGTCATCTCGAGCTGGTCATTCTCCTCCTGGAGTCTCAGACCATGCCTGCCCTCTGCTTCAGGCAGATGCCCGCCTCTGCATCTCGGGATAGGGAACAACAGGATGGCTGTTTGTTGGGCATCTGCCCTGGCTCCAGGGTGCAGGAGAGCATGGGACCCAGACCGTCCAGAGAAAGACAAATGTGGGTGGTGGAGGAAACCTCTTTGAAATGATGGTCAGAGAGAATACACTGAAGACAAATTCCCAAGGCCCCAGAATCTTAGTTGGTGAATCCACATACTGTACTCATCACTGAGGTCCGCCCAGCCACTGTCACCTGCTAACCTGGTCCCCCTGACATCATCTGCATCCTCAGCAGCACAGACAGAGACACACACAGATGAACACAGCATCCATGCTTGATCACATCCACAATCTCACACCCACGCATGCACACACAGTCTCTCAGACTCTCACACCTACCCACACTCACAGGCACCTGCTTACACACTCAAAAGTACACACCACGCACATGTGCCTCCACACTCATGTCAGAGTGTCCATGCCGGGGACTGGCTCAGCCCTAGAGTGTCAGCTCAGGTGTCCCAGGGCTTCCCCTCTCCCCAGGTCCCCAGGGAACTCTCCATCAGGCCACAGCTCACTGCTGCCTTCCTGGGGTGGCTGTGACAGCCACTGACCCTGCACCCTGTGACTCTCCGGGACCCACAATCCCACAGGGATTCTGAGGAGCAGCCAGCCAGGTATCCTCAAGAACCAAGTCTGGCTGAGCCAAGAGACCCCCTTGGGCCAAGGTCACCCCTGCCCTAAATTATTGGCTTTCCAGGCCACCCCAGCTGGGAGTCCTGCACACTCACTGTCCCATACACAAACTTGTGTACACACTCACAGAAATCCTCACACACGCACACTCACCTCTATCCACTTTGCCGATACACGCACACAAATCCCGACCCTCGTGCTCCCCACAAGCGCATCCCCTGACCGTCACTGTCGCCCACCCCACCCCAGCATCAACCTGCCGCTGCTGGACCGCACGATCCCCGACTACACCAGCTTTAATACCGTGGACGAGTGGCTGGAGGCCATCAAGATGGGGCAGTACAAGGAGAGCTTCGCCAGCGCGGGCTTCACCTCCTTCGACGTCGTGTCTCAGATGATGATGGAGTAAGTCCCCGGCTCCTGCACTCACCCCCTTCACACCTCTCCCCATGCACCCCACCCACCAAGGGGTGCACTTTGGAAAGGGGAGGAATCAACAGCATCCAGCAGGGAGGGGCACCATGACACAAGGCCGCTTTATAGTCACATCCAGATTCTGCACAGGTCTGCCTGCCACCTCTGGCTGTGTGACCTCAGCCTCAGTTTTTTCATCTGTAAACTGGGGTTGCTAAGCAGGTGAGGGGAGAATAAAGGAAACGGGTACTTAGTCCATGTCAGTTCCTTTCCCACAGCCAAGAAATGGTGCTGACTCCCAGCCCAGTGCTCTCTGCCTATCAGTCACTGACTCCAGCTCTGACACCCACCCACCACCATTCCACCTCCCCACCCCCAGCCAGACCCAAAGCCCGTTCCACCCCCTAACATGGGTGTTTCTCTTCCAAAGGGACATTCTGCGGGTTGGGGTCACCCTCGCGGGCCACCAGAAAAAAATCCTGAACAGTATCCAGGTGATGAGGGCCCAGATGAACCAGATCCAGTCTGTGGAAGTTTGACGCTCGCCTGCCTCGGCTCGCCTCGGCCTCCGGCCGCCCCCTCCGCCCCACACCGGCCCCCCGGTGCTCCGTTCTCTGCAGGGCCGTCTGCCAGGAGGCCACGGGCAGCAGGAAGAACCAAGCAGCGCTCCAGCCACGAGACGTCACCAAGAACAAGTGCAGAATCAAAAGGGAACGGGAAAGAAACAAGATCTGGGAGGGGGCGGGAGATATAAGGCATATTTTAAAAAGAGGATTCTCATAAAGAAAGCGATGATGGTTCTTGGCAGAAAAATAGGGCTTGGGAGATCCATGCGACTTGTCCAATCGGAGACCAAAAGCAGTTTCTCCTCAACTCCCTCTGGGAAGGTGACCTGGCCAGAGCTGAGAAACACTTTCAGGAAAACAAATGTGAAGGGGTGAGGTGAACGGGGCTGCCTTCTCCCCCTTCCTTGGGCCACTCTTAGGGGCCTCACTCCACAGCCGAGCACCAGACAGAGGGGGCAGAAGGACAGGTGGTTGCCCCAGAACCACTGGGAAAATCCTGCTAACTGCCGCCCGGCACACAGAAGAAGTTTTCTGTCTTTGGAGAGTGTTTTAGAAACTCCACTGAGAGACTGTTTCTGCTGTTGGTTTGTGGGGCTGAACGGGGCCCTTGTCCTCCTGGGCCATGGAGAGCAGGGGCCGCCAGGCAAGTGGCCTTCTGGAGGACGCCCACCCCCGGCCTGCCGCTCCAAGTGCCAGTGGCCTGACCCGCCTGGGTGCCGGCTCCCACTGGTCCCCACTGGAGGATGGATGCTGCAGTGACTGTCATCAGCGACGACTGCCACTGAGAAGGGTTGACCTTGCAACTGGGTTTGTTTACAGCGATTCGTGGACTCTGGGGTATTTTGGTCAGGGGTGGTTTTGGTTTGGGCGGGTTTGTTCGTTGGGTTTTTGTTTTTTTGTTTTTTAATGACAATGAAGTGACACCTTGACATTTCCTACCTTTTGAGGACTTGAGCCTTCTCCAGGAAGAAGGTGCTTTCTGCTGACTTAGGCAATACAGCAAGGGCAAGATTTTATATGCACATTTCTGGATTTTTTTATATGGTTTTCATTGACACCCTTCCCTCCTCCCACCTGCTACCAGGCCTCACCAAAGCCAACTGCCACGGGGCCATCTGGGCCATTCGGAGACTTGAGTGAGCCTTGGGGGAGTGGGGGAGGCACCGGGGTGGAGCAGCACCCCACCTGGACTGGTGTTGGAGGCAGCAGACTGGAGAAGCGGGCACCGAGGCTGGAAGGCCCTGCCCGCTCCCGTGCGCCCTCTCTGCCCCATTCTATCGAGTCTTCCCAGGGACACAGGCCCCTTTGAGGTTCCTGAGTGCCCGCAGATGGCCAAGCCCAGCTTTGCCTCTGGGACCCTGAACAGGCCGCCCGGGAGACCAGGACCCGATCATTCACTGTGATACCCCAGCCCCGCAGAAGTGCCCTCCGAGACTAGGGTAGCTTGTTTCTCCTTCTGGGGGAGAAAGCGTGTGACTCTTCTCCCGGCTCCTCCCTGCACCAGGCCTTTCCCCAGGGCTGAAGGTATTGGCCACAGGGAGACCATCAGCCGGGGCCTGGCCTCAGACTCCCTCCCGGGAGCAAGCTCAGGCCCCTAAGCAGAACAATGGGTTAGCAAACTGAACAGAAATAAACTCTTTAGTTATAAAATGACCCCTGTTCTCTGTAAGTTCCAAGGAGAGATCCCGGCACCCTTGAGATGTGCCAAGTAACTCGAAGAACTCTTTCAGGGGACCCTGCCTCCCTCAGGATTCGGGAAGGCCCCAGGCTGAGGAATCACAGGAGGACAAACAAGCCCCATGTGGCCTTTCTGGCCCTGGAGCATTGAAAGCACAGGCAGAAAAAGCAGCGTGTTGGAAGTGGGTCAGAACTCTAGGAAACGGGGAGCCCCTGAGGGTCCATTGGGAACAGAGGGCAGATAGAGGGGTGCTCAGCACCGCCGGGCCAGGGACAGCGGCTCGGGGTGTCTGATGAGTTGTGATCAGGGTAGACTGTGACGGCGGGGGGATGAGGTCACCCCATCAGAGCCACAAGTCCAATTTATTGGGGCCTTGCTCATCTCCTATGTGTATCTGGCCTCCTACTCATCCTAAGATCTGAAGTCTGAGTGGCTGGAGGAGACAGGCAGATGTGCTCTGAACATGAGGGACAGCCAGGGACACCGTGTCCTAGCACCTTGCCCTTTGCAGAACTTCTTTAAGGAGACCGCAGGGTGGGGAAGATGGAGGCCACAGGCCACCAGCTAAAGGCCCTGCAGGCAGCTCAGACCAGCCTGTCATCTGTCGCTCACCTGTTCTTAGAGCCGGTGATGCAGGGGGAAGGAAGGGATTAGAGAGGACACTGGGCCCCTAGGGGGACAGCAGGGCGAGCCACAGGAAGGAGCTGGCAGGTTGCCCACAAACTGGCCGGCAGTGGCCCACCGGCCATCCCTTTGTGTCCCAAAGATGCCCAGTGTGGATGGCAGCTGTCCCGCACACAAGGTCACCTTCTGGCAGGGGCAGGCCTGATGCTCTTTAGATTAACTCTTGTCTCCCAAGCCTGCCCCCTGCTGCCCCGGGGCCCCACAGGGGCTGGCAATTGGTGCTTCCGTCAGATGGCTTCCTGTCCTAAGCCACTGGGCTGGTGTCTTGTGTCCAGCATGTGTGCCCTTCCACGCTCTGGGGGCTGAGGTCCTCAGTGGGCCTGGACCTCACATACCTGCCTCCTAGAGCACGGGTGCTACTCAGGCCCTCTGTCTCCTCTTTAGGGTATCAGACATCACTGTGACCATCTGGGGTGCGGGCGCCTGTCACTCCTGGTGCAGGGGCAGTCTCCCCACCACCTCTCGCTTGCTGCTTGGCGGGGAGCGGTAGCTCACGCTGCCAAGCGCCTTCCTCTTTACGCTACCCGCTCGCCTGGGCACATGGCTTGGAGCTCCCCGCTGCCTGGTTACTAATCCCTTCCTGGCTCAACCTCCCCAAGTGCCACCCCCACCTGCCCAGCAGTGTGAGAGGAGCTTCCGGCTGCTCAGCACACAGTTGGTTCTTGAGGAAAGCAAGCTGCCTTGTGAACCTGGGCCAGGGCACCATGGAAATGGGGCCAGCTGCTCTGAGAGGATGTAACGGGCGGAGCCCTGCAGGGCCAGGCTGGGTAAGAGAACCATGCCGCCCACCCCCACCCCTCCGGACCCACGAGCCTCCCAAACGGAAGGGATCGTTGTTGGCAATCAGCAGCAGCCTCTTTGCAGTGATGATAATCTACCTACCTACCACCTGGGAAAGCCTGGGCCCACCGATCTGAGTGAGCGATGGCCTAAGTGCTGGACCCAGGACCTCAGGGAGGAGGCGACAGTGATGGTGATGAGGACCACAAGGGATAGTCAGAGCAAGGACTGTTTGCTAACTAATGGTGCCCCTTGCTCTGAAGGTGCCAGCTGTGCTCCCCCTGTCATTTCTAGCTATTAAGGCAGTGCTTTGCTCCTCCTTTGTGAGTAGTCTCCAGCCTGGCACCCCTCACAGATCAGGAGTTCCTGGCCAGAAAGCCAGGCCCTCCCAACTCTGCACAGCTCATCCTCATGCCTGGCTAAGGCACAGAAGGAACTCAGGCCCTAGACCATCCCATCACCACCCTAAGGCCAGGTCCTTGGCCACCCCCAGCTCTCTCCAGGGCCCCTGGGGTTCCAAGATGGTACCCAAGGCTGGAAGACTCTCGCCAGGGAAAATCAGGTCAGTGCACTCAAAGTACAACATGCAGCCTGATGCACCTTGACCTCAGAGTGGCGGCCTGCCCTATTTCTAAGTGGAAAACGAATCTTGGGAGACACTGCCCTTCAGTGGGCCTCAGTTTCCCACCTATAAAATGGGAGCACTGGAGTGAGTGAGCCAGGCCTGCAATGCCTCCGTCCGGTGAGGAGGGATACTTCCCTCCTAATACATAAGAGAGAAACTCTAAGGCCCAGTGGGGTGCAGTAGTTTGCTTAGTGTCACCCCTGAGAAGGGTGGGGCAGGGCAGAGCCATACACCTCCAGTACCCACTCCACCATGTTCAGTTAGATGGCAGGAAGGACTTTGTGTCTGGCATTGTCTGATAAGAGAAAGCTCAAATGGGCTGGGGCTGTTAGGGAGAGCTTCCTCGGGGAGGCTGACTTGATAAAGAAAGCTTGAAAGGTCATCCACCATGCGTCAGGTAGGATGGTCTAACGCAATCCCAGCTTGCATCTGGATGACCCAGAGGAGTGACAGAGAGACACCTGTAGATGTGAGAGAGATCAGAGCAGCTTGGGCATTCTGTACAGTGCAGCCACAGAGAGACTTGAGCGCAACAGTGGCAGGGTCCTATCAGGTTCCAGGGAGAGGAATCAGTCCCATCAGATGGGCAGGAGGCCCCCAGCAACCCTTCCCTGAGAGAGAGAGCGCCCAGCTCAACCCTCATTGATTCCTGGAGACCCAGGCTGGTCCGGTTTCAGTCTCACTGACGCAGATAATCCAGAGTCCGGCTGCGGAGAATAGCAGGGTGGGGTTTTGTGCTACCTGATTCTTAACTCAGCCATACCCACCACTTCCTCCAGGCCTCTCTGAGGGACAGCAGGGTGAAAGCTTCCAGGAACCAAGGCAGTCAGGCCTGGGAGTTGAATTGTTGGCATGAAAAACTGTTCAGGAAGCCCTGCATCTCTGCATCGTCACTCTGGCCTGAGGCAGATCACCCAGACTTATTGGAAGGGGTCTGGGATCCTATCATGTTCAATAGTGTGTTATCCTAGGGGAGCCCAAAAGAAAGTTCAGAGGTCCCCAGTGCATCGTGTGGTTCTGCTTGTCCGGGTCCAGCCCTACCCAGATTCCCATGGTTCAGTTCCTACCATGAAACAGAGTGGAGCGTGTCCTTCATGCTGGTCAGCCTCCCTTTCAGGGAGTCCAAGGTTGGAATGTTGGTGGCAGGAAGGGATTTGGCCTATATTGTTTTTGGTTTTTGGTTTTTGTAATGTCGGTGATGGAGCCCAGGAACTTGTACGCGCTAAGCCTGCCCTGTGCCACTAAGGGGCATGCCCAGCCTGGGCTTTGTCTTCCATACAGGAAGAGGGTGGGCTCCGGGCAGGAGGGCAGGGCTACTCTGAGGCTGGTCCCTGGAGGCCAAAGCTGCAGGGACTGATGGCAATCGTAACTCAACACTTTGGGGTGCCAGGTGCCAAGTACTATCCTCCCCTTTTTACAAATCAGCACACAGATTCCCAGAGAATTCCAGCCTGGCATCTCTACCTGACCCACCCTAACCCGGGCGCTCTTGAAATGTTTGCCATCACCCATCTGGGCCAGAATCTCTTGGGATACTTATTGTTTAAACTCCACATTCTCAGGCCCCATCCTGGCCCCCTAAATCAGACCCCTTGAAGTTGGGCTCAGGAGCCTTTGTTTTTGATACCAAGTGATTCATTCCTCCAGACACTGAAATCTTCGCTTCTCTCATCACAAACTAGACCCGGCTGTCTGGGGAAGGAGGGTTTGGCATAGACAGAAATTCGAAAAAAGCTGACACCGTCATTTAAAATATCCAAACTCAGACACAGATTAGGACCCTGGACGTGGAGGAGTAAGGCTGACCCTCAGGAACGTGTTCAGCCTGAGCTAAGGTTTCAGGAAAATTAGAAAGATTGCCCCAGACTCACAGTCTGTCTGAGTTTAGTTTCACAGCACGAAGGCTGCCTCAGGAAAGCGGAGATAGCAAGTAGCAGTGGGAATTTAATACTTCAGAGGGGCCCAGCAGCCCACCTGGGGCCACCCCATGGAGATCCACAAGACCCTAACACCGCCCAGTCCAGGCCCATCACTCAACACCTGGCCAGGTGGGCCGGGCAAAGGCAGGGTGGGGCTCCCAGCTGGATGTGGTGTTTCAGGGGCCCGCCTGGCCCTGTCTCCCAGCCTCCCGTGGCTTTCCCTGGGGAAGCAGAGGGAGCAAAGGCTCTAACAGCCCCCATTGGACCAGAGGGCTCTGAGCACTAACAGGGAGCCATCGAGGGAGGAGGGAGGAGGGAGGAGCAGGTCAGGAAACATCTTAGAGGAGGTCACAGCCAGGGCCACAGAGACTCTGCAGACCTGCTGTGCCTGCAAGAGTCAGGAATTCTAACATTCCATGGTCAAAGGAGATTGGGATGCTAAGATTGCAAAAGTCTAATTCCAATGGAAGGATGCTGTGTTTTTAAAATTCCATCACTAGATGATTCTATGCGGCTACTCTTCAAATTTCAACTCCCATTGTTCATCGCTGGTCCCCAAACCCAAGGGCCCTAGCAGGGGAAACAAACAAACAAAACAAAACAAAACAAAACAAGCACAATGAACAAGAGAGGCAGAGCTGAGGAGGAGAAAGCTGAGAATGAACTCAGAATGGTTCCATCTTTGAATTTGAGTCAGAGATGACCTTGGACAGGGCAAAGATCTGTCTCGGAGGGTCCTGTAGGGTTCTTTCCTGGTAGAGGGACAGGCTCTCATGGGGGCAGTGGGACTGGCTAAGGACAGCCCGATGCAGGCCCAGTGCCCACTGGTTGGTGAACTCCCACAATTCAAGCAGGGCCCCAGCTCTGTTTGGGGAGGGAGTCATCTGGAGGGAGACCCCTCACTCCAAAAAGGCTGGATGGCCAGGGATTTGCCTTGGGCGCCCCCACTGGGGAATGCCCAAGCTGACCACCTTTCAGCCCAGAGTCACAGACTGGACAATGGGCAGCAAGAGGGTCTGGCTGCAAATCCCCAAACCAAGTTTCTTCCCTCTGATGCCAGGAACACAGCTCCCACAGCCACTTGGCCTTTGCTCATCCGGGGACCCCTTCACCCTTCCAGAGCTGGAAGGCAACAGGAGAAGGAGCCTGTGTGGGTGGCCCAGAGCTCAGTGATTGACCAGGGGTCACTCTACCTCTGTGGGCAGGGACTCTGAGAGCCAGGGCTTCGATCCAGCCTCCGTAGCTAACCTAGGGTCAGCTGGGCCAGTACCCCCACTCACAGCCACTCTTTTAGACTCCAGAGAAGAGCAAGGAGTGGTTGGTTATAATCATAGCTGCTATTTCTTGATTGCCAACAATATACCAGGCGCCATGCTTCACTTCCTATATGTAGTGTCTTGCTGAATCCCCACAGAATTCTGTGAGGCAGGAAGTTATCGCTCCCGTTCCACAGGCTCGAATGCTCAGAGGCACAACTGCTGGCCTTCCCTGTCACGTGGCCAGTGAATGGTCTCTGAGCCCAGCACCCACCCTCTTAGCCACTATGCTATGCTGCTACCACTAGACCCTCAGCCCCATCGCGGTCACACCCTTCCCAGTCCAAGCCCAGATCCTGGGGGTCACTTTCATATTCTGAGGCATGGCCTCCCTGGAGCTATTCAAGGCCATGGACGGTGAGAGTGACACCCAGATCCCCTCCCAAGGTGCCCCTCAGCCCGAACCACTCAGACCAGAGTTTTCAACCAGCAAGCCAGGGCTGCGTGACAGGGTTTCACAGAACCCTATCTTCTGATCATAAACATGGTTTTCCTGACAATGTTGGGGGTCAGGCAGTGATCCGGCTGGGGTTCCAATGGCTGTGGGTCACACCTGGCTCTTCCAGACCCCCACTGCTGTAACCAAGGGACTCTCACCAGCTGTGTCCAACAGCAACCCTGACCCTGTTACTCCAATGCCTTTGTAGGAGTATTTTTAGCAGAACCTTTTTTTCCAAAATAAATGTGAATTGTAAAAATTATTACTTGGACTCAGTCTTGTCTTTTCTCTGAGGTTCACCAAGAAATGAATGGGAGGTTCCAGAAGTCCTGAGCAGGGTTCTAACATGTGACTAGGAGTTTTCCAGGACTAAAGATGGAGCGAGAGTAAAGGATGGACTGGCACCAGGGTTGAACGGTGGAGGAGATGGAGTCTGGGCCAGGGTACCGTGTTGACCAAACGATGATTCCTATTCTAAGAATACTTGTCCATATTCAAAACCCTGCTGCCTGGAGTTCAAGGGTTTGTATCCCAGTTTTGCTATTTGTTAGCTGTGTGTACTCAGAGAAGTCACATAACTACACTAAGCCTCATTTTCATGTCTCTAAGATGGGAACAACAGTATTTAACTTCTGCAGATAAGTGAGGAGGAATGCCATGAGGCATGGGAAGAGCTGGGCCCACACATGATGGCAGGACTTGTGTCTGCCACACACCCTGCTCTGTTCCCACCCAGGACATCTGACCCAGGCCAGACGCTCAGCCAGTGTCTGTCAGATAGGGGTCAGGAGATGCCCCACTGAAAGAAAAGGGACGCTAGGAAGGATTCACTGCTCAAGCAGATCTGGCAGGCTCTGGGAGAAGGCAAGGCAGTCAGGTTTCTTTACCTCAAGATGCTGCAAAGCCTTAAATATATCAAAAGCACAAAGCAAATCTAAAAGGTGTTCTCATAGCTGGGCATGGTGATGCGCACCTGTAATCCCCGCACTGTGGGAGGCTGAGGCAAGAGGATCAGAGCTCAACCCCAGCCTGGGCAACTTAGTGACTTAGTTGGACCCCACTGCAAAATAAAAATATCAAAAGAGAATGAAGGTATAGCTTAGTGTGAAGTCCTTGAAGTCAGTCCCCACTACCACCCTCAAAAAAAAAGTGTTTCTTATGCCAGGTTTCCTACTTTGGGGTCACTTGAGGTTAGAAGTGGACCCCACGGGCTGGGAGTTTAGGTCAGTGGTGTAAGTGCCTGCTTGGCAAATGTGAGCTCATGAGTTTGATCCCTGGCACAAAGAAGAAAAGAAGAAGAAGAAGAAGAAGAAGAAGAAGAAGAAGAAGAAGAAGAAGAAGAAGAAGAAGAAGAAGAAGAAGAGGAGGGAGTGGGAGGGGGAGGGGGAGGAGGGGGGGAGGGGGAAGAGAAGTGGAGCCCACCTGGGCTGAAAGTCAGGCTTGGAAAACATGAGAGGACCGAGGTCAGAGGGACGGCATCCCGGAGGCTGGACTCTGCTTTCCACCTTCGTGCTCTCCAAAGTGCTTACTGGGGGTGGGGATGCAGGCAAGGACACAGCACTTGCCTGGCACTGTAAGGCCCGGAGCTCAGTCCTCAGCACCCCCATCGAAACTAAAAACACACAGTACTTCCCGAATGACCTATTACTGCCTGAAGGCCCACAGCAGATACCCGGGGGAGATGGGAATGACACCTACGTTGGGCGGTCCATGGGGTACTTGGGTCCCCGCACTGCGTATGAATCGAATGGAGCACCAGCAGGTTCTTGTGCCAGATTCCAGGTTGTTAGTTTCGCTGCTTTACTCAGGGGTTACGTGCTTTCCAAGACCCCCACTGAGTTCCTCAAACAGCCAACAGCGCCAAACTGTCCGTGTCACTCTCCCTGCCATTCCTGCAGGGTTGTCAAGTACACTGTGTCACAACATCTACCCTTCCAACTCTGCACCACTGCCCTTGCATTGGGAGCCCTTGTTAAGAAGGGTTACCTGGACTTCAGGAAGAACATGGTGGATACATAGCAGCAGCTACGGAGGCTCTCTGAGATACCCCGCTTAAAATCCAGGAATGGTGTGGTACAAGGAGTCCTAAGAAAGGGGAGATACACCCTGCTGACCCAGGAATGAACTAAGCTAAGAGAAACCAACCGGAAATCCAATCCTGGTGCTATAACAGGAACAGATAAAATCTCAGCGCGGAAGCTAGAACCCGCACCACTGGAAGCCACGATTAGAACTTCCTGCTGCCGCTGCTGCATCCAAATCTGCAGGGCAAGGAGAGAGACGTGAAAGCTCTGAAAGCAGGAATCTGCAAACAGAGTTGAGAGCGGGACTGGCGGGGAGCCCTGCATTGACTTGTGGTGAGTGAGCAGAACGGGGACCCTTTCATAGAGTAGGAGGCTCCAAAGGACATACTGGGACCAGGCAGACTTGCTGGAACAGGGTGCTGCAATGACATTAGCCGCATATTCCCCTATCAAGCGGGATTGGTGGGGAGTGCCTGGCCTGGGTGACACCGCTGACTAAGACCCAGTAGGCTAGCCCAAACCAGGTCCCAGCGCCTGGAGGTGCACCCTAGCGGTGAAGCCTTCGGTAGCTTGACCTGGAGGGGCGGGCCCAGCAGAGGCTGCCCAGGTCGGTGTCTCCCTAGTACACTGCAGTGGGCGGGAACACCTAGCCGGCGCAATTCAAACAAACTGTAACCAACAAAGAGAAAAAAATTGGGCCTCCTACATTCACTTGTATGGAAAGAACAAAATGTATGGGAAGAGGAAGCAACAAGAAAGGATCCTCAGTCCCCAATCCTGAGAACACTGATGCAGGAAAGGGAAACACAAAGGAAGACAGAAAACATGCAATATCAGACACGGCACCAACAGACATAAAGCGATATCTCCAGAGCCTCATAGACGAGTTTAAAAATGAAGTATTTAATGAAATAAAGCAAGATATAAGTAGAATAGTTAGAGAAATGCTAAGCACTGCCCAAGAAAAAACAGATGGTGGAATGGAAGAACAGAAAGAAAGGGGAGAATTGTCTGATGGAGAAAATAGAGAAAATATAGAATACGTGAAGCAGGTTCAAAGAGATTACCAGGCAACTGAAAACTATCAAAAACTGGCATAATAGCTTGAAAGAAACTAAGGATAGATTATCTGAACTGGAGGACAGATTTGTAATGTTGGAGCATGAAAGGAAAAACTTCTTAAAAATAACAAGGAAACAAGCAGTAACAATACAAAGGCTAGAAGATGATAAGAGGATATATAACTTAAGAATTAAGAACATAAAAGAAGAAGTAGGGACACAAACAAATGGACTACAAAAGCTATTCACAGAAATAATCCAAGAGAATTTCCCTAATTTAGCAAAAGGTAAAGATATTCAGATGTATGAAGCATACAGGACCCCAGCCACCTACAACCCAAACAGAACCACACCCAGGCATATAATAATCAAAATTCCAGAAATCCAATATAAGAACAGAATACTAAAAGCCGTCAGAGACAAGAAACAGATCACTTACAAGGGAACACCCATCAGGATTACAGCAGACTTGTCGGCACAAACCATCAAATCACGAAGAGCGTGGGGGGAAATAATTCAAGCTTTGAAAGATAATAATCTCCAGCCAAGATTGATATATCATGCACAATTGTCCCTAGAAATTGATGGAAAAACAAGGTACTTCCAGAATAAAGAGGAACTAGGGGAATTTGCAACCACCAATTCAACTCTACAGAGATCACTGCAGGATATTCTAAAAAAGGAAAGTACCAAGATTCCAGAAACAGTGGCAGAGCGGCCACAATGAATGGAGCAGAAAGCAAAATGAAGAAGACGTTTGTCTTCTTCATTTGACAACAAATGACAGAAAAAGAGCTCAACAGAAATAAGGCAGAGAAGATTGGATGGTAGGAACAGCTATTTTGGAGAAAACAAGACATCATAATAGCTAGTGCTGATTTAGTATCCTCTTGCTTTGAAGTCCCATCAAGCTTTTATTCTTCTGTCTCCAGCAGTCTTAACAGGTTGTATCTTATTGTATTTTATTATATGTGATAATATAAGCAAAAACTTTTATAGACAAGGAGATTATACAGAAACCATTGTTCATTTTCTGTTAGTTGGTTCTAAATACCCTGTAATACTGTCATTCTCTTGAATGGTTTTACATTGTCTTGATATGTTTGGTGCTACAGTATACGAAGTTATACTCAAAGATTTCAAGGAAAGAGACACTATGGTAACTACTTTTATGTCGGGATGTCTTGTGGTGAAACACTATTTTGCTTAAATGGTTATGCTTTGCCCTGTGCTGTTTTGTTGTCATGCCCTCTTTTATCTCAGTCTCCTTTTTTGTAATTATTTACTTTTAAATTTTTATCTTTTTAATTAAGGGAAAAATAAAAAAATAGCAGGATACATTATAGAAACCTACTTTCATTTCCTATTAACTTGATTTGAAACCCTGTATAGCCCTCACCATCTTGCTTTGACTGATTTTCCTCTATTCTGCTTTGCTTGATAGTACCAAGTTCGAAAGTACAGGCAAAACTGTGAAGACAATAAGATTCATTATGATGCCCATTCTGGTTGACTACTATCTTCTTTTAAAGTCCTGTAATGTCTCCAATGTTTTGGTTTTATTCTTTACTGTTTTGTTCAATTTTATTATAACTGATGATATAGGCAATTCTTTTTAAGATAGCAAGAGGCAGTATGGTAACCATTGTTGATCACCTTGTATTTTGTTTTTACATTATCTATTATGTCCATCCTTTTGATTTGACTGACTCTGTTCTGTTATGTCACATTTGGTTTTACTCTCTTCAAAAAAAAGTAATAAGAACTGTGGGAGTAATAAAACCCAAAATGTGTAATTGTCATTGTACAAAAGAAAGGAAAAGAAAGTGCTCTAAAGAATATAACCGCATATATATTTAAGTGTATAAGATAGATAACCATATTACTGAGTTTTGTTGGATCATTGAACAAAACTGTTCCCAGTCTCACTGTTTGAAAGTGCACTTTATATGCTTTAATTTTGTAACTTGAACAACTATTTCTAAGAGAACAATATGTAATCTATTAACTAGTGATTTCCTATTGTTTACTTTTTCTGAAATTCTGTATAACTTGTACCCTTTTTTTTTCTTTTTCTCCTTAAATTAAATAAATAAATAAGTAAATAAATAAAAGAAGGGTTACCTGGTCACAAGCACCAAGCCATGGCAACAGTGTGACAAGTAAGACAGCTACTG